CGAGAGGTAGCGCCAGAATTCGTCGACCTGCGCCTGGCTGCAACACGAAGTTCCAGATAACCCGTGCTGCATTTCAAACGCGTGGAGCCTGTACTGGAAGGCCCCGTCGGTTTCCGACATACGGCGCACCATGCCTCTCAAAGTAGAGAGCTGCACCGTGGGGTCAGGGGCTGCCATCCCCAACCTCTGCAGCCGGGTGAGGTCGAACTTCCACCTCTGTAGGTTCTCGTACACGTCCGCGACCTGGTTGGACGCCTGCTGGCCTCTCCTCTCCACCGCCTTCAGCGTGGCCTCCCGGTCCTTCAACGTCCCCGGCCCCGCCTCAACCATCGCCGCGAAGAGGATGTCAGCCACCGCGGTCTGCCGGGTCGCCAATGCCTGCTTCCTGATGCTCACCGGCATCGCGTCCAGCAGCAAAGGCCGGAGACGCAACTCAACGTTCCTCAACTCCGCTGGCATCATGTGCGCGGCTGGCCTGATGAGAGGCCTCCTGAGCGGGTCCAGGGACAGGTACTCGTCGTAGGCCACCGCGCAACACTCCTGCGCCCTGGCCCAGAAGGCCTCCAATGCAGGATGCAGTCCGCTGATCCTGATGCTGGCCCGTTGAAGCCAGTCCTCGAACGTCGATGCCTTGCCGACGCCCTTGACCCACTCGAGGGTCGGCACGTCGGTGTCCTTCAGTCGCGCCAGCACCGCCGTCAGCGTGCCAATCCAGTCACCTGGCAGCTCTCCTCCCTCAGCATTTCCTGCGCCGAAGGGTGGGGGTGGCGGCGGCGGCGGTGGTGGCCCTCCTCCAGGGTGTCCCAGGGGCCCGCACGGGCCACAGTTGCTAGGTCGTCCTCCTCCTGGATCGCCTGCTCCTGCTCCTCCTGCTCCTCCTGGGTCTCTCCCTCCTGGCGGGCCTCCTCCTCCAGGCGGGCCTCCTCCTCCTCCTCCAGACGGTCCTGGCTGCCACATCTGGGGAACTGGCCCCTGCATCCACTGCCAACCCTGCGGCCAGCCTGGAGGACCCAATCCCGGAGGCTCCACTGCTGCTGACGCTGCTGCTGCTGCGGCTGTTGCTGAAGGCTGTTCGGGCTGCGGGCCTTGCTCCGAAGCCTGCGCCCGGCCTTCGCCAGCCTGCTCCAGCCTGTCCTGCACTGGGGTGTCCTCATCCTGTCCTCGCGCCTCCTCCTCCTCACCAGCAGGGCCCTGCTCTACCCGATCCGTCGGGGAGCTGGGCGGCCCGCCGGTCAGCGCGCCCGCGTCGAGGCTCGCCCCTCCTGGGGTGGCGTAGCCTCCAAGCTGCCTCTCGAGCTCCTCGGTCCTCCTCGTCAGGAACTCGATTTGCTGCCTGGCCAGCCGGAGCTCGTCCATCTGCTGGCTGTCCTGGCTGTCGTGCTCCAGCGGCCGCTGAGGTGCAGGTAGCACGCGTGGGCGGGCAGGCCCGGGGATTTCGGCCACGCCGCCCATGGTTTGCCTCGCGCCAGCCAGCATTCCGCTGGCAAGTCGAGTGACTCCGGCCCCAAGCCCGAAAGCGGTCGCTCCGACGACCTGGCCGGCAAGCTGTCCACCAGAAGCCAGCGCGCGGCCGACCTGCTGCGCGCCGTGCTGGATCATCGTGGAGCGCCTCGCGGCCACGAAGGCGTCCCGATCCGCGATGCAGGTCACGCACACAGGGCTCCGGCCGAACACCTGCATGCAGTGGGCGTGCACGATCCCGCCGCAGTTGTCGCACTGCACGGCGGGCCCCACGACGTAGTCGAAGCAGGCGGCACACTGACGCACTTGCGCCCCCAGCTGCGCGCCATGGATCGTGGCAGCGCTTGGGCTCATAACCCTTTGCAGGGCTCTTCTCTCGTCTGGCCCCGCATGGGGCACGATCGTCTCATCGAATGCCATCGTCTATGCTACTGCCGCTCCGCTTCCGCGACAACGTCGTCGAGAGGGGACTCAATACTCCGCCTCTGAGCTATCAAGCCCAACAGTCGACGGGCCCGGGCTGGGGGTATGGGCAGAGGATGGCTGAGGCTGCTGTCTACAGGGATCCTGAGTTTCAGCCTCAGGAGGGTGTCGCTAGTAGTGGCGAGTCGGAGGAGCAGCCGGCGTCGCCGCTGAGACTGACTCCTCTTCCTCACCGGGACGGTCAAAGGATGTTTTTCCTCAGACGGCTCCATCTTGAGCCAAAGGTGCCGGCACAGTAACATAATTCACATGGGCGCGGGGTAGGCGTTGCCACTCTCCCCGCGCTCGCAAGAAACCCTAATTAGACCGACCTCTGACAACATGCTCCGCCTGCTATGCCTCACGCACCGCACGGCACTACACTACACAACAGAACACAGGTTGCACTTGAGACGCGATTTATTCCTCGCGTGCACCGTGCTGGAGGCCATCATTGGGCCTCTTGCTCCAAATCCCAGCCTCCAGTGGCAATCTAAACGGTCGCTGGCCGGGGCGGCCGACCGACCGGAGAATCGACGAAATGCGATCGACGCAAGCTGTGGGAACCTCCATCCCCAGATGCTACGCTCCCCGATCACGTTTTCCAGAGGGGGGGGTTTGGGGACGGGGGGGGTCTTGCCGGGGGAAAGGGGGGGGGTCCAGCAGGGGGGGGGGATTTTCGGAAGGGGGGGACCCCCGGGTTCCTGAGGAAGAGGGGGGGAAACTTTCCACAGTCAAGCAGCGGTGGATCACGCACTCTCTTATAATGAGAAGGCTACGAATACTACTTTAAAAAGAATAAGAGCAATTTTGTTCAGATTAAGAAGAGGAGGAGGAATAGTTATGAGGATGAGGATGAGGAGGGGGAGGAGGAGGAGGCGGAGGAGGAGGAGGAGGAGGAGAGGAGGAGGAGGAGGAGGAGGAGGAGGAGGAAGGGGAGGAGGAGGAGGAGTAGGAAGAGGAGGAGGAGCAGGAAGAGGAAGAGGAGGAGGAACAATGGTAATCAGACTAAGAAGAAACATACTGATATTTTTTATAAACAGAAGGCTCACACTAATACTAATAGTCATAATTATAAGAATAATACTAGCACTAAGATGCATGATACTGAGAAGAAACCTGCTACGGATAATGATAGGAGGAATAGTAATACTAATAATACGGTTAATACTAATAAACATTAAAAAGAACATTAAGAGGCATACTAATACGCATACTGAGAATAGCACAAATATTAAGAATCATGCGAATACTAGTAATAAAAAAGAAGAGCAAACTAATCATACTAATAATGATACTAATGATGATGCGAATGGCAATACGGATCGTACTACTAAGCATGCTAATAAGCAGAACATCGATATTAACACTAATCTTAACACTCATATGAGTAATAATACGGTAATCATAGTACGAATACTATGAATAGTACTATTACTAATAAGAATAATACGAATACTAATGCTAAGACGAATCGTAATAGCAATAGTCATGCTACTACGAATCATAATGATACTAACGAAATGATTACTACTACTATTACTACTACTACTACCACCACCACTACTACTACTACTACTACTACTACTACTACTGCTACTGCTACTGCTACTGCTACTGCTACGGCTACTGCTACTGCTACTGCTACTGCTACTACTACTACTACTACTACTACTACTACTACTACTACTACTACTACTACTACTACTACTACTACTACTACTACTACTACTACTACTACTACTACTACTACTACTACTACTACTACTACTACTACTACTACTACTACTACTACTACTACTACTACTACGACTACGACTACGACTACGACTACTACTACTGCTACTGCTACTGCTACTGCTACTACTACTACTACTACTATTACTACTACTACTACTGCTACGACTACTAATATTACTGTTACTAATTATTACATTTGTTATAATATTACTAACACTACTAGTAACAATACTGCCAATAAGAATAATAAGAGGAGGAGGAGGATGATAAGGAGGAGGAGGAGATGGAGGAGGAGGTGGAGGAGGAGGAGGAGAAGGAGGAGGAGGAGGATGGATAGAGCGAAAGATGAGAGAGAGAGAGAGAGAGAAAGAGAGATAGAGAGGAGAGATGAGAGAGAGAAAAGAGAGAGAGAGGGATAGAGAGAGAGAGAGAGAGAGAAAGAAATCATGGGAGGGAGGGACAGGGAGGGAGGGAGGGAGGGCGGGAGGACGGAGGGAGGGAGGAGGGAGGGAGGGAGGGAGTCAGGAGCAGGATGATGATGATGATGATGATGATGATGATGATGATGATGAGGATGATGATGATGAGGAGGAGGAGGAGGAGGAGGAGGAGGAGGAGGAGGAGGAGGAGGAGGAGGAGGAGGAGAGGAGGAGGAGGAGGAGGAAGAGGAGGAGTAGTAGGAGGAGGAGGAATAATCAGGAGGTTCGAAGACATCGAACTGGGAGTCCGACACCTAGGGGCCCGTTGTGGGCCCCAGGACGGTTAGCAACGGATCCGCGGCGAGAATGTGTCCAGGGTGGATCCTGGGAGGGTCCAGGGGCCGTTTTCGAGCGGACTGGTCGGGGGCAGGAGCACTGGGCTGGGGGCGTCCAAGAGGGGGTGAGGACCATGCGGGGTGGATGCCAGGGCTCCACGATATCTCTCCGGATTTCGTGCCCCCCTCTTCTCATTTCAATGCGTCCCTGAATGTTGCCTTCACGTGTGTAGCTCGTGTACCTATCGTGCGGCAGGCTGTGATAGCTGGAGGCTCCTTGATGTGATCCGCTCACATCTTCCCCTCCCCCCAACAAAAACAAAACAAACATTGTCGGCGGCGCGCCGTTTGTTCCGACGCGCGGCCTTCCGTCTCTGCGAGGGCGCCTCGACCACAAGGCAAACGCCGCCTCGGGCGCGGTGGAATCGCCGTGGGGTTTGCCGCGGCGCCAGCGTCGTCCACTTGGGGCGCGGGGCGCAGGGTTGGCCGTGGTGTCGGCGCCGTCCACTTGGGCGCGTCGGGAGAAGACATGGCGCGGCGAGTCTCCTGCATCCCCCCCCCGTCCGCGCAGGTGCCTGGAGCCATGCCGCGCCCCCCCCCCTTCCGTCTTCCTGCCCCCCCCTCTTGGAGGTGCGCCCTGGGGAGCGGAGGCGGAGGAGGAGGATGGCTCCAGCCGGCATCGCTCGTTGCTGTTGGCTCCCTGCTCCTCCTCGTTCTCCTCCTCCTTCTCCCCCTCCTCCCTCTCCTCCTCCCTCTGCTCCTCCCTCCTCCTCCTCCTCCTCCTCGTCCTCCTCCTCGTTCTTCTCCTTCTCCTCGATCTCCTCGTTCTCCTCCTCGTCCTCCTCCTCCTCCTCCTCCTCCTCCTCCTCCTCCTCCTCCTCTAGTCAGGCCCAGGTTTCTGCCAGAGGTCCTCCTGGGGGTGATCTGGCCCTCCCCGCCGCAGATCGTCCGTGCAGTTTTGAGCTGGGCGGCAGCCGTGGTCCTTTCGTGCGGGTGCGATCGGGCCTGGTTGCTGGGAGCGGTGAGTAGCCCTCTGGCCCCTCCATCCCGTTCCCCTCTCCGTTTCCCTCCTCTGTGTCGAAGAAGAAAAACGCCATGAACATAAACTTTCGGGCGCTCCGCGCGGATTTCTTGGATCTGCGCTGGGGCCCCCTGGCGGCGCCTCTAGCGTCGCCCCTGGCGCGCTCCGCGCGCCAGGGAGGGGGGTCCAGCGCAGATCCAACAAATCTGCGCGGACCGTTGGAAGTTTATGTTTATGCCGCTTTTTTTTCTACTGTCTCCATCCCTGGGTCTCTTGGAGGCCTCGCGGAGATTTCGCAGGCCGTCTTGTAGACCTCTTGGGGGGGCTTTTTTTGGGGGTCCCTTTTCACGGGTTTGCCTCCGAATCTCCTTTTCGGGCTTCTGGGCAGCTCCTGGGGAGCAATACGCATTAGCCACTTCAGACGTTTATGTCTTGGCTACTACCCTGGTGCGCCCGACACAAGGCAACGAGGGCCCTGTCGCTGTTTGGACCGCCGAGGTTGCCCCCCTCTTCCCCTCCGAGCGGTGCCAGGAACGACGACCTCACGGTGTGCGTCCGTGAGCTCTCCTGGGACGTCGACCAGGATACGATCAGGTTCGGCAGCCTTCTCTGGTCTCGCCACAGCAGCCGCAGAACACCTCATCCTCCCCTTCCTCGTGTGCAATTGCTGCCCGTCCGCCTGCCCCCTTTTCTCCAACTCCTCTTGCCCCTCGTGTTCCTCCATCTTGTCGTCGTTGTTGTCACCGTCGTCCTCTCGTTTGGCTTCTCATTTTCGTCGTCGTTATCGTCCTCCTCTCATCGGGAGACATTTCTAGTGACCATGCTCCCCTTCGGACCCTCAAATTAGAAGACACCCTGGCTG